TATATATATATATATGCATACATATAGTGGTTGTGGTGGTGGGTGTGTGCCACTGAGTCAGTTCTGACTCATAGTGACCCTGTATAGGGTTTTCAAGGCTGTAAATCGTTGTGGGAGAAGAAAGTCTTATCTTTCTCCCATGGGGCGACTGGTGGATTTGAACTGCTGACCTTGAGGTTAACAGCCCAACTCATAATCCATTACACTACCAGAGCTCCTTATATACCTGCATATCCATGAAGATACACATGTTTTGTATGCATGATGTATCTATGAAAGGCTACCCAAGAAACTGATAAGAATGGTTGTCTTTGTGAGGGGAACAGGGGACTGGTAGTCTGGGTATGAGGTAGAACTATTTTCATTGTCTGCCTTTATACTGTTTGAATCTTTTGTCATGTATGTGCATTACTTAAACACACATGTGAGGAAACAGACACAGAAGACTTCCCTATGGAGGTCAATCTGGTGATCTTGATAAAAATTAGATAAGAATTTACCTACTGTGGGAATGCACACATACCAAACAATACATGTACAGGGTTGTTCTAGGTATATTCCGTGATAGGAGAAGATTGGAAACTATCAAGTGCCCATCATTAAGGTACTGGTTAAAGAATAACAGTATATCCACACAATGCAACCCTATTAGCTCTAAAGAGAATGAGGAAGCTCTCTGTTTACTGATATGAAAAGATCTACAAAATTTACTGTTAAGGGGAAAGTGCACTGCACAAAACAGTACCTAGAATATGTTACTTTTGATGTAGAAAGAGAAAAATTGGAATATCCACACATACATATTCACTTTTTCTTGAATTTACATTAAAAAAATCACTGAAAGGTTACAGAAGAAACTAATAAAATTGGCTCCTTTAAGCAAGAGTAATATGCAAAATACTTAATTATTATGACAGAGATATCAAGCATCAGAATAGACTCTGGACAAAAACAACCCAATAAAAGAACAAACCATTTCCACTTACAGTGGGCTGCCTCATGTGTGTCAGGTAGAACTCTGTTCCATAGGATTTTCAATAGTTCGACTTTCAGAAGTAGATTGCTAGATCTTCCTTCTTATGCATCACAGGGTGGGTTTGAACCACCAACCTTTCAGTTAGTAGTTAAGGATTGCATGGTTTGTGCCTCCCAGTGACTGCTCAAAGCAACCAGTACCAATGAAACTCAGCTGCTGGGTTGAACCGTGCAGTAAAGGGAAGAGAGGTAAGGGGAGAGGGGTGGGACAGGAGGACCAGGTATGGAAATGAGACTTCCTAATGTACTCTTTTTTATAATGCTTAAATTTTTTGAACCATGGGATTATATTGTCCATTAAAAATAGAAAGAAAAAATAAAACAAAACCTCTTCTACACCCCCCAAAAGAATACAAAAAGGAAAAAAATAAGACAAAACAAAAATAAATCTAGTCTCTAAATAAATAAATCTTGTTTTGGTAATGGTTCAACCACTGTGAAAAATGATATAGCACTTCCTCAAAAAGTTGGAAATAGCTATACTGTAGGCCTCAGCAATCTCGAGACTTGGTATATATCCCTAAGAAATAAGAGCCATGCCACAAGTAAATATATGTTCACCCATGTTCATCTCAGGCCTATTCACACTAACAAAGATGGAGACAGCTTAATTGCTCATCAATGGAAGAACGGATAAACAAACTTTGGTACATATATACAATGAAATACTATGCAACATTGAAAAAAATGATAAATCTGTAAAACATCGCATAGCATGGGTGAACCTGGAGGACATTATGCTGAGTGAAATTAGTCTATCACAAAAGGACAAATATTGTATGAAACTACTGTTGTAAAAACTCAAGAAAAGGGTTCCTGGCTAAAAGAAACGATTTGTGATTGTTACCAGGGGTGGGAAACCACTCAGCTGTCAGTTTGTCATACTGTGATAGTTTGCCTATTGCTGTGATGCTGGAAGCTATGCCTCTGGTGTTTTAAATATCATCAGGATCAACCAAGGCAGACAGGTTTCAGCTGAGCTTCCAGACTAACACAGACTAGGAAGAAGGAGAGGTGGACAACCTCCAAATGTTTACCAAATGAAACACGTGTGAATAGCAGTAGGACACTGTCAGATAGCACCAGAACATTGGATATTGAAACATGATGAAGAGCGCCAGAATATTGTCAGATATTGTGTCAGAAGG